AATTTCTCTTTTCAGTGCTGTTAGAGTTTTTTTATGTATTTTGGAGCCCTGAGCAAACATTTTTGAGTGCACATTCTGTGCTGGACACTGGAAACCCCTCTAGGTCTCTGGACCATCCCTTCTCTAACTTTCCTCGTCCTTGAAGGGGCAAGATCTTCCTTCTCCTGCTATCATCTTGCTCTGTCAAATAACTTTCATAACAAACTTCCCACCCCGGATACCTTCTTCAGTCTTCTCTTTATTGCTGCGCTGATGGTGCTGCAACCTGGAGAACTTCCTGCCCAAGGTAAGCAAACTCCTCCTAATCCACAACCTATTTTGAACCTCTTTTCTTTTCCTAGCCATATGGAAACATGACCTTCTTCCCTATGGACTCCATTTCGCTGCTCCTGTCTCCCTTGAATTCTTCACTTTCCCCCATTCTCTCTGACCCAATTGGAAGGGAGAAGGAAAAAGGAGGAAAGGGTTGGGCAAGGAACCAGCAGCTTTTACCAAATACCTACTGTGTGCCACGCTCAGAAAGGCACATTATATAAAGGAATGCAGCATGTACTTCTTTGTATCCAGATGAACCTGTAGGATCACCTCATTACCAACTTCCTTCAGTTCTACAGTTTGAGGTGCACCCCAAATCCTGACTGCTATGGGCAGGGAGTATGTCTAAATCATCTTTCCATCATGATGCCGAGTATAGTGCCTTGCTCACAATATGAAATAAAAAAAAAACATTCTTTGAAATTAATTGGTGATTTCAAAAGCCATGTCATTGATTCTGGGATCCTAGAACTCTGCCTCATTTACTCCTTACTCACATGTAAAGACTCTTAACTCTTCCATTGAATTCTCATACCGTACAGTTTATTTTCTATCAGTCTCCTGCAGAAGAAACAGTTGACCTCACCAACCCTATTTCCAGCTGCCTATTGGATATCTCCGCTCAGACAGCCCTTAAGCATCTTAATCTAAATTTGTTCCACGTGAAAGTCGTTATTTTTTTCACCAATACCTGACCATCCTCCAGGCTTCCTGTTGGTGAATGGTATTACTATTCACCCAGTCTATAAAGCTGTTAATATAGGAGTCATTCCAAACTCATTTCTCTCTTTGATACCTGATCTTGCAGATTTAACCTCAGAGATGTCTCTCACAGTGACCTCTCCTCCCCTGCATCACTGACTTAATATAATGCAACAGCTTCCTAATTCAAACTGTCACCAGCTGTCTCACTAACAGTCCATCTTTCATTCTACACAGCCAGAAGTACCTCCTCCTACAAAACAGATCTGAATGCAACATTCACTTGCTTAAAAACCTCCACTGGTGTTCTCTGGTCCAGAGGATCAAGTTCAAATTCTTAGCATATTAGATCCTTCATAATCCGGCTTCATTAAAGTAGATGCTTAATAAATCCACCCAATAGCCAAGAGACATTTTTCCAAAGCACCATTTTGAAATCACTATGCTGTTTGTGGATACCCTAGTGGCGTAGTAGTTAATAGCTACAGCTGCTAACCAAAAGGTTGGCAGTTCGAATCCACCAGGCGCTCCTTGGAAACTCTATGGGGCAGTTCTACTCTGTCCTATAGGGTCATTATGAGTAGGAATCAACTCGACGGCAACAGGTTTGGTGTTTTTTGTTTGTTTGTTTGTTTACTTGTTTTTTATGCTGTTTGTAAGTTTGCAGCAACTACTAATGCTATTTGCCTTATATTTGAACTTCTCGCTGGGTTCTTTCAGGCCCTCTGACTACTCCCTACCTATAACTCTTCTCGACTTTCAGTGCACCCTATGTGGCCTTTGTAATTGTTCCTCACCCCCACCCACCCACACCCACATTTCTTGTTTGCTCCTGTCTGAGTCTTCTCTTAGGCTGCACCCTCTCCCTGGACTGGTTTTCTGACCTGTTGCCCAGTCACACCCTTCTCTTTCAAAACACACTAAAACCTCACCTCCTCCCCGAAGTCTTCCCCGACTAAGCCCACCTGGCTCTCCTTTTATTGTTCTTTGCAGATTCCCCTGACCACTTAGGTATTTAACTCTTCAGAATGATACTAAGTATACTAATTCACACTTTACTGCATTTTCATGTTCTGTCTTGCCCATTAGAATTCCCTGTGGATAGAGACTGTGCCTTTTATTCCTTTAGAAGTATCCCCCTTGCCCCCAGTGCCTAGTGGTATCTAGTCCCTAGGCTCCATCTAGAGTATAAAGTGGGAGAGCTGCACGTGTGCGTGATTGCCTGAATGCTTTTAAAGAAACATGACCACCCAGGTGCAGTTCCAAAAGCGCCAAACAGAGCTTTGATAAAATAAGTGAATTGATATGCATTCATTTCGTCTCCATCACCAGAAGATATATCTTTCCAGATGCCAAGTCTCCACAAGACCTGGAACCTTGGGAGTTTTCGCCAACCCTCTTGAGGCTCTAGGTTTAGCAATTTCATTAAGGATATTCAGGAAACTTTGGCCTGAGTAGGTTATACTCAGACCACACTGGAGTTTGTACTCCACATGTCCAAGCTTTTCAGTTCACATTTAGACACCCCAGTCACTGCTAAGTCACCCGGAGCAGAGACAGCACATCCGCTAATGTTGATATTAAACTTTGCTAATGTTCACTGAGAACGCAGAGGGACTTTAGTTGGGGCTATGTTACATTCAAAACTGGGTGCGATTTCCAGGGTGGGGGGAGTAAAGAAAGGGAAGTACCACTTACTCAAAGTTGTCCTGGTCACCAGCTTGAAGTGATGGAGCTCCTCAAACATCCTCTTGGAGATCTTCTCAATATGGAAGTGCTGGAGGATGCCTGGAGCCAAGCAAAAAGCGGGGCAGGTGGTCAGATGCTCTCTATCTGGAACCACCAACTCTTTTTTCTGCTTGGGCTGAGCATATCCTCTCATTACTGGGGCTTAGGAGTATCAGGCTGGCTGTGTAATGTGCTTAACCAGGAACTTGGATGGATCAATGGTTATAATTGACTCCATTTGTTTCCTTGGCTCCATGGCCTCCTCTTGGCTTTTCCAGGGGATGGAGATAAGGGAGATAGTGCTGCTGACCATGGAACCCCCTCCTAGGGAAAGCCACATGGAGTCAAGCATGGGTGCTGATTGGAGCTTCTGCAGCCAAGGGCAGTATTAGAAATTCTGCTCTTGCCCCAAGTCTGGGTAGACTACGTCCCTGCAAAACTACTGGACTGCCCTTCTGGCTAAGCAATGAGAGCCAGCAGTACGACTGCAGACAGGTTGTTTGTGTAAATGGAGAATCCGCCCTGGTTTCTAAATTCACCGAAAAGCCTATTTTCCTTTGGGAAATAATAATAGCTCCTTTACCCTTGTAAAAAATGAGGAGAATTAAAATAATGTGGCTCCCAACATCTCAACCGTGCCTGAGTAGTTTTTATCAGAGTAACAGGTAAACAACTAAAAACTGCCTTGCAGTTAAAGGGCAACATGCTACCAGCCCTCTTAAATAGCCCTCAAGAGGCCTATAGGGGGTAAAGTGAATGAAGCCTGGGTTTTTCTCTGCCCAGCAAGCACAGACCTTGATTACCCAGCACTGTGAATAAGAGGCTATTTAGATACTGCACTAGAAAGTTGAGAAACATCTACACACCTCTGTGGGGTAAGACATGTGGGGAGATGAATAGTGAACCCCACTAGAGAAGCCAAAATGATAGTCCTTTTTCCTAGGTGACCAGCTATGGATGAGCTAGGGAGATAGAGACAGAAAATCAACATTCCTTGGTATGAAGCAAAAATAAGCATGGATGAGAAACATGTATGCATGTTCTAGCATATTTGCGGGGGGGTGTAGGAACACATCCTTTAGAGAAAGAAAGGTAGTTGTAAAAAGGGGAGAAAAATTTCACAATTACAACAGTGTTTCTCCAAGGATGGTCCAAGTGCCACCTGCATTAGAATTACCCGGCTATGTGTTAAAAATGCAAATACTTAGACCTTACCGGAAGCCTACTGAATTCACAGCTCTTGAATGGGTCCAGGAATCTGCATTTTAAAGCAGCTCCTAGCGTGATTCTGATGCACACTGAAGTTTGAGGACTCTAGAGCTTTATGTGGGAACCAGCAGAAAAGGGATGTATTTTATTTTCCAACTGAAATCTCACCTCTTGGATTCCTAGAAAACTTTATCAGACTACCTAAACCAACACGTCTTGTATCTATGGAATGGTTTAAATAACTGCAAGATCACAGTGAATGGAATGCAGTTTGCTATGGCTGCCAATGTGAGTAATCAGAAAAGGAACTAAACATCACAACTGGGGTTGTTTCTCCATTGAGACTATAATCTTCTTGAAGACAGGGATGATGTTTTAAGATTGTCTTACTCCAGAGTACACAGCATGATTCTGGGGATTTAGCTTCACAATGAATGAATGGATTTTTATGTTTGTTCAGCTTTGTATTGGAAATGATGGTTGACCGCATTCAGGTAGTTCTCAACCGTGGCTACACATTAAAATCACCCACAGAACTTTTAAGGAAAAAACAAAACAAAATAACACTGATGCCCAGGCTCTACCCCAGACCAATTATTCAGGATGTCTGGGGGTGGGGCCCAGGCATTGATGTTTTTAAAAAAAAAGTCTTCCAGATGATTCTGACATGCAGCCATGGTGGAGAACCACTGCTCCAGTGTTTGGTGGTGTGAGAAAGACAATAGACTACAAGGGTCAACACTTAACTTTTAGCAAGTCCATGGTTAAATTTAAAGGCCACAGTAATAAATGTATTAGACATGTTTTAATTTCTAAGCAATCAGGAAAAGTTTTGAACCAAACAGAGGAAGAGGTTGAAGCAAAATTAAGGTGAGTCTTCCCCTCCTTCCCTGTGCCCCCTTAATTGCTCACCTTTTCGAATGGTCCAAACATGGACCTCAACCTGAGGTGGTCTCTCGGTCTCCAGTGCTATTTTTCTGGTGGTCTCTCCATCCTCCATGAACACAGACTCATACACGGGCATCGTTTCCTCTCCACAAAAGTAGCCTTTGCTGTCAAAGCTTTGGCCTGGAAGTTCTTCTGGAATCAGGAGGCAGGTAGAGTTTTGTCATGGTTTTCCAGTAACAGAAGTAAACTCATGCATTTATGTATCTCATCATTCATAACATCATACATGTATCAAAAGTGGAAAATCAACAAGAACATTTTTTCAGAGAGAAGTCCCCCCCATACTTCATTTGCTTAGCTTAGACAGCCCCTGCAACAGCCACCAAATTGCAAAGGAGCATATAACCTTTGATTAAAGTCTATGTGATGACAGAATCCACAATTCTGCAGAACACTGGCCCACAAAATAAACTGAATCCACCTACCACCATCACTGAGAACTGGACCTTCATGAGGAGGAGGAAGAATGTGGCCAGGTACAAATCTCTTAGGCATTTAAAGGAACATAGAATTTTCCATACTGGGTCAGGATCATGGCCTGTCCAGCCCAGTGTTGCCAACAGAGGCTCAGGGAACGGGCTGACAAAGGGCCTTGGTTAACTTCCCTGACATCATTTAGGTATACTTAGAAACCATTTATGATACTCATTTATGTGCACATACTTGCCCAAAGCATCTATCCAAATTGGCTTGACATTTCTGAATGCTCTTTGATTTGTTTGTAAGGGGAACGATAATACCAGATCAACACCAGTGCCAAAACCTAGATGTCAGATTAGTCATATGTATGCTATGCCAAATGAACGGTTCAGAAACACAAAAAAATTGGTCAAATCCCTCAACTGTGGATCATTTAATATATAAACTAAACTCTTGGATTTTAGCTCCCAGGCATAAAGATACCATCCCTGTGATACTCCCTGTTCCCTTCACACTCCTCTCTCCTCAGCCCCTTACCAAAACAAAATGTCTCCTGGTTGGTTATTAGTAAGTTTGCTTCTTTTCTAGCCTTGCAATCAGCACCCTCTTCAGCTGTATATTTAAAGTGTACACTCAAATTAGGAACAACAAAGAGAAGTCATGGACGCCCTGAAACTTTGACCATGCGCAGGAGCCCTCTGTAAGAAGATCTGAATTGTGGAGAGTGAAACCATCGAGTGTTGAGTGCTTTGAATCTGCGGCTCTAATTAGGGAGGCTCTGCTGTTAGCCAATCAGACACATTTGGACTAGACATTGTAATCAAATTGTTAGTGCGTGCCTCTTGCTGACCTGATTAGCTTTCCCACCCCACCACCATTTTGGCTTTATATGGACAAAACCATAGTCTTCTCAGGTCAGATTACTCAATTTGTGGATTCTCCAAGAATCAAAACTTTTTTCTTTTTGTCCTTCTTTTTAGCTATTTAGTGATTCAGTGGGCCAGTCTTCTTGGTGATATGTTAGGTAATGAAGGGATATGTGCTAGCACTTTTTGACTGGGGCAGTGGAGGCGGGGGACTGACTGTACAGGAACAACTATGTATTCAATTATCACCTTTAGAATAAGAGCTGAATGCATTTGTTAAACTTTGCTCACTAGCTTAATATTGGCCATGACTATAACCAGCATATGAAATATCTGATGGCACTGGAAATACTTGCAATATACTGAAAGTTCTTTCAGTGCCCTAAAGAGTCAACCCGCCCCACAATGCCTCCCCCTCCAAGAGCTTAATTTACTAGCCTGAAGGGATCTACAAACAACAAAACCCAGTAGTGACTCAACTCCGGCTGGCACTTGAAAATATTAAGAGTAAACAAAGTGTGTCTTTGGAACTACCTATTCAGCAACATCTTCCTCATTCCACACCCTCCACCTCAAGGTGCTTTCTGATCACTCCTCGTTCACCTACTTTTGTTTCCTTCCGGGGAAGCATGCCATGCAGCAAGCTTCAAGTCATTCCTGAAGTCATTCCACCTCCCATGAGAATGCTTCTGTCCTGAGCTCCACTTCTCTCCAGCACTAAGAAACTGAGAAACCATTCCTTACAGAGTGGTGTTGGCTGACGAAGGAGATGTATTATCCCAGCCCAGGAGTCTTTTAAGTTGTCACAGGGGCTTTAAAGACCATAAGCCAAAAGAAGTGTGTAATTATGGGAATTCCAGGCGTTGGGGTGGTATGGTGGGGGTGAGGAGGGGGTTCCACTTTAGGAAGTGGCAATCCAAACAGCCCTGTAGGTGGCTACTGATATGCAAGGCAAGGCCAGTCTCTACCAGAGCAAAGGGAAGAGAGAGGTGAAACTCACATGCTTTCTTTTGGCCCTAGTTTGTTACTGGAGTAGTCTGCATTCATCTGTTGCAATGAAACTTTTGGCTGGATCATCAGTGAATTTTATTTATTGCTTCTCCCTTATCAACACGAATAACTGAATTTACTGTTCTTATTTTCTTTAATCTTCTTTTCCCCTTGTTCCTTTTCCTCTGTGTCACCTGTTATTTTCTAAGAGCCTGGTGATGTCACGATATTCCCATTTCTCATCCCTTCACATCATTTAGGAGCCCTGGTGGCTCAGTGGCTAAGGCGCTCAGCTGCTAACTGAAAGGTCGGCGGTTTGAAACCACCAGCCGCTCCGTAGGATAAAGATGTGGCAGTCTGCTTCCGTAAAGATTACAGCTTTGGAAACCCTATGGGGCAGTTCTACTCTGTCCTATAGGGTCACTGTGAGTCAGAATCGACTCGATGGAATTGGGTTTGGGGTTTGGTCACATTTCTCAGGACTCTACTCCAATATCACTTCTTCAGAGAAGTCTTCCCTGACTACCCTTTCAAAAGTGCTCCCCGCCCCATTCTCTATCTCTTGATGCTGCTTTATTTTTCTTCACAGCACTCACCACAACCTAAAATTACCTACTTGGTTTCTGTTCTCTTTCTTCCCCCACTAGAATATAAGAACCATAATGGCAAGTAGCCTTTTCTATCTTGTTCATCTCTATCCTCAGTGCCTGTAACAGTGTCTGGCACACAGCTGGCACTTAATATGTATTTCCAGATTGAATGCATGACCAAGTGCATGCCCTTTGATGCTCTGTGGTTGCTGAGTGCCTGGAGCAGGTGCCCTGCGCTATGTGGACAGTGACAATTGTTAGGCAATGACTATCAGGAATGATACAATATGCAAACACTGAGAGACAGGTATACAGAATGGGACAGAAACTCTCTCTTTGCATGTTGCCCAAGGAATCCTCATTTCCACACACTTGAGCAGGTTGGGAAAGCAGGAAAAGCAGCTCTTCCAGAGAAACAAGTTTAGTCAATCAGGGTCTTTAATTTATTGCCAGCTGGGATTGTGGAGGGTAGTTTTTAAAATAAGAACTTTTATTATTTTTTCTAATTACAAAAGTAATACATGTTTATTGTTAAAAATTTAGGAAATACAGATAAACACAAAGAAGAAAATAAGTATTACCCATAATTCAGTCACCCAAAGATGGCCACTGTTAACATTCTGCCATATACTTTTCCAGTCCTTTTTTTTTAAATTTTTTTTATTAAGCATATATAAACACTTTTTTTTTTTTAACACAACTAGTGGCATCATAATATAATATTGTTTTGTGGCTTGTTCTTTCTACTTAATATATTGCAAACATCTTTCATGACATTAAATCTTAGTCTACAATGATTTTTAATGGCGATATAACACTCCACAGTATGAAGATACCATAATTTATTTAACCATTCCCATACTGGTGGACTTTCATATAGGTTCCAGTTTTTCACTATTGTAAACAGCAATGCAACAAACATCCTTGTTTTTATATATTAGTGTATGCCTCTGATTCCTTTCTCAGTATTCCTCAGAGTGGAAATGCTGAGCCAAAGAGTACATACATTAAAGTTTTAATAAATATTACCAACTTGAGTGGACAACAATTTAAAAGACAATGCCCATTGTGTGTCCTGTTTTCATGCCTTTTTTGAATCATCTGGATCAATAAAATCCTAAGCACACAATGAAATAGTATTTGGTCTGAAGGTCTGAAATTCAAATTGGAATATTTATAGTGCAAGGGTTTATCTTACCTGGCGTAATTTTGGTAACTATTAGTTTTGTCTGAAATTATCTTGTACCAATTATATAACTATAGGTGATAGACCCTTGACAGAAACAACACTGTTTTGGTGGAACTACTGCTAAGTGACACTCAAAGCTTTGGGGATCTAGTGAGATCACAGACTTAGAAATCATAACAGGTCACCATGGCTGGCGGCCCCAATGTCCATATGATCTTCAGAATGTGCTTACTTCCTATCTCTAACACCTACATTTCCTTATCAATACTAATGCCCCATATCTCTACTCCATATCAGATGGCCCCTATCCTTCCTCACACCCCGCTCCCTGTTTTCTCTGGAAGGTGGGGGGACATTATATTAAGGGTGATTTTATTTGTGCTATTGACCAGAGCTTCTCAAACTTTAACGTGCATTTGACTCACCTGGAGATCTTGTTAAAACGCAGATTCTGATGCAGTAAGTCTGGGTGAGGGCCTAAAAATCTGCATTTCTAACAAGCTCTCAGGTGATAGCCATGCTGCTGGTCCACAAACTACACTCTGAGTAACAACACCATAAACCACCCTGGGCCTACATCAGTGGTTCTCAAACTTATCTGCACATTAGTATCACCTGGGGATCTTTTAAAACTTCCATAGCCCGTGCCACACCCCAAATCAATTAAATCATAATTTCTGAGGATGGGACAGTTTTAGAATCTCTCCAGGTGATTCCAATGTGCAGACAATTTGGGAACCACTGCCCATTGTATTGAAGGTGCTCAATAGGTATACATTAACTGAGTGCGTGTTTGCCTGTTAGTCACGAGGAATTGCCTAAGGTGAAGGAATAAATGATTTAACTCTCTGCCTACATGTAAAAATGTATGGATTTTCATCTGTGTTTATAGAAACACTTTGCAGGTAGGCAGAAGAAATGATAAATTCATGTTCCTGGAAGTGACTGATTTACTGATTCCTAGAATGTGGGAGCTAGACAGACCCTGAGGAATCATCTACTCTAATCCCCTTATTTTGCAGAGAAGGAAACTGAGGCTCAGAGAAGTAAAGCGACTTGTTCTAGGTCGCACAGAAAATCTGGTAGATACAGGACTAGAATGCTTGATTACCAATCCCATACTCTATCAACTCCAATACTACAGACTATATTTTTATCCAGCTCATGTTTTCAAATCACTATTTAAATCATTAATTCATCTTTTTTATACATCAACATTTTCTACTGGCCTAGAAAAGACATTGGGCTAGAAGTGACCTGGGTTCTAGGCCTTGGTTTTATTACCAATTAGTTGTGTGACTCTGGGCAAGTCATTTTACTTTCTACACCTCAACTTTCTTATCTGTAAAAGAGAAATAATAATGAAATGATAGAATTTTAGTGTTGGAAGGGAACGTAAGAGATCAATTGTTCCAAACTTCTCATTGTGCAGATGAGGCTGATGAGGCTCAAAGTGGATATGGCATATTTCCAAGGTCACACAGCAAGTTAGAAAATTGGACCAGAACCCAGCCTCCTTCCATTATACCTCACCTGTATCACATCCTGTCTCAGAAGGGTAATGTGCTTGATGAGTTAAAATAGTGATGTAAATTAAAAGTGCTACTGTTCTTCCTAATACTCATGATAGCTTCATTTCTTTACTATTTAGAAAAGCAAGGGTAAGTTTGGTACTTGGGACCACATGGGTCAATGGTATGGTGTTGTTGTTAGGTAGGTAGTTTGTCGTTAGGTTGGTATGGTAGAGACAAGCAAATCCCCAAAATATTTCTAACTATTAAATTTCTTCCAAGCACTCATCAGCCCTTCAAGAGAGGAGAGAATTAAGTTCGTTATTATTAGAACTATAAGCATTAAAATTATATGACAGGTTGAGTAGGCTTCTGATGATCAAAGAATGTTGAGAATGACTATGTGAGGATCTCAGTCAATCAAAGGCAGGGCCTCCAACCAACGCACCTTTTGACTTTTTACCTGGACACACCTTGCAGCATTTTCCATCTATTTTTTGAGGATACTTGCAGGGGTATCGATTGGGGCAGTGGATTTTCTTACACTCCTGCTTGGTGACATTACAAGTGCACAGCACACACTCGACAACACCAAATGCCCGGAGGTTTGGGTGCCAGGATTCACCATGAGAATAGGTCTTTCCATTGGAAACACACACTGTAAGAGAACACAGGACTGGAAATTAAAGGCTAGTGAGCTAAAATGGGCCCTTGTGCTCAGAACCCAAGCCCTGAACTCAAGACATCAAGCGTCCTTTGTTCTTGTCATGGCTATGGAGATACACTGACAGAGCAGCCTCTGCAACCAAGAAACAGCTTGGGCCATGTTCTACTGTCAGCAGCTATCTGGTTGTTTGACAGTGGCCTCTGGATGCTCACAAGTGCCTGACATATAGTAGATAGTCGATAAATGTTTTATTTTTTAAATGGAGGAATTAATACATGAAAGTGGATTTCTATCTGTTTTGGATATCTGACAAGAAACTATAGAATGTAGTGTTAATACATGCAATTCCATAAAGGATTTGTATGGCCCAAGTGGATGTGCTTCCAGACAAGAAAATTTATCAGAGACATTTGCTGCCTAGTGAGGCTAGATGCAAAAACTGCTGCTCTTCCCAAAGGGCCAGTTTTTCCAGATCCTAAAGCAAATCCATTCAGCATGTCAAATTCTATCAGCGCCTGATACACCAACACAAATGGGTATGGAGCTCAATGGCACTGGCCTACTCTCTGGAGTGGGAAGGAAGGTGCCAAGACAAGACTGAGAGGAAAAGGACCTACTTCTGGATAGCGTGTGAAAGGGCAGACTTTCATGTCTCAAATCTTCAGGTAATTTAATTTCCTATCTCCCACCTCACAGTGGCTGTACAGATTCAGCTACAGAGAATCCCTTGCCTGGCCCACAGATATCCTTTGGCAGTCTCACATTTGTTCAATGGGGAATGAAGTCACTGGCCCCATGTTTTCTGTGGGGCCTTGAAAAAAGCAAGAATCTGGGCTGCAAGCCGAGGGGCCTATGAAGAGACCACAGAACATCCTTCAGTGCAAATCAACCAAAATGTTATCTGGCTCCTACTGTAAGACACAGAGCTAGGCTCCAGGATAAGAACTGCACAGGCCTGTGAATGAGGAAGTCTGAGAATGAGTTCTCTCCCTTTTTGAAAGCACTGAGACATTCTGGAGATTTCGAGCCATGACTGGGACTGGGTGTGTTTCTCATTATTCCCATCACCTCATCATACCCGGGGAGACCTGTCGGCATCCCAATCAACAACATCCCTAGGGTGGGTTATATCACTTAAGGCGGGGTTAGGGAGGGAGAAATCACCCCACTTGGGGCGTTTCTAGGAATTGACTGATTTGGCTGCAAGACAACTGCCTCAGAAGGATGAATCATTGGGTTATTTCTTTCTCATCAAATCCACTGGGTCACATTAGGAAATATGGATGATGTTGGCTGCCTTTTTCCTGTCCTTTGCAAGAGCTGCTAGAGTACTGGGCACTCTAACAGGTCAATCTATGCAAAGATTTCCAAGAACCTAAACTGGTGGGGAGGCTCCCAACCTTACAATGGGACAGACTAGAGACTTGATAACTAAATTGTGAGGCTCAGGACTGTGGACAGGATCACGTGACAAAAGATGACCAGAACCCACAGGCCAGATGCGTTACTCCCTATCCTGCCCTTACCTCTTCTCTCTCACTCCCTTCTACACAATCTGAACAAGTGGACACAATCTGCTTCAAGCAAACTTAGGCTGGACTGAAATTAAAATGGTGGAGTCCTATCCCTTCTCCTCTTTGGCTCTAACAAGAAACCAAATAGATGTATCTCAGAGGACCACATCATCAGCAAGAGAGCTAAGGAGAAGGGTGAGACATGCTGAAGAGTAGGGAAGGACTTCAGTGTTATATAGCTAGGTTTCCTCTCCCCTAACAGACTGGGTGAGAGCCCACACTCTGAAGTGGAATAGGGTGAGGACAATTCTCCAGGTTGAAATACAGTCTTCTCCCCACCAACCAATTCTCAAGATGATTTTGAATCATCTAGCTGGGGAGTTGGGGGTAGGGCAAATGATTCTCCAGAGAACTACAACAGAAAGGTCAGAAGAGAATTGCTGCATCCAAATCAATGGGGGCAAATGAATAAATGTAAACCAGCTGGGGCTTTTGTAGGACAGACAGAAAATCAAGGGATGAGCCTCTGCCCTGAAAATGAAGAGGTCTTGTGGAAATTATGGGATTTAGGATTTTCAAAGTCCATTTCCCCACACTTTTCTTTTCTTTTTTTTAAGGCTTTGAAATACTTTTGGAGCAAATGGAATCTATTGGAGGCAATTTAGGATTGAAAATCAAACTGCATCTTTACCTAACTCCTCCTCATTCCACAAATTCATATCACAATGCCTTGGAACTTAAAAACAATGAATTTCAAATGAAACCCAGATCGATGGTAAATATTTCCAATACTTATAATATATCCACTATTTTTTATTGAGTTTTATTTTTGAGTGTTCTTCTTTTAAGCCTGTAAGTTTCAAAAGCAATTTAATTTTTTTATCTGTAATCTGAAATTTACATCTAACTAGTAACAGATGTGATCAACTAGCTTTGGCTTGATTAGCTTTTTTGAGATTTATAGTAGGAGTTCTTTGTAACGGATTGTTTTTCACCCATGTTATTCAATCATTTGGTTTAATAATTTATCACTTTAACCCATTCAGAGAACTGCCTTTGATTTTGTTTTTCCTTTAAAGGAAACAAAACATGTTTGTGGTTTCATAAAAAGGAACCAGCTGAGCTCTTGCTCCGAAGAGCTGGTTGACACAATGCCTAAAAAAGTAAGAAGCAGTCAATTGTTCGATTGAATTTCTCCTCCCCCAACCCCGGTACTAGGGAGGGGGTAGAGGCCAGAGAAGCCTGTGCTGGAAGAAATGGGCCCATGGATGTATGTGTGCTACAGCCAGTGGTCAGCTGGTGGGCTGCATGTCAGGGTTAACCTGAACAGTCCTCCTGGTGCTGGGCCAGGAGGTTTCTGGATTTCTCACTGGATTACCAATTTCTAAGGACATTCTCCTCATATGCTACACATTGTCAAGGTTGTGTTTCTATGTTATTTCCTGGGAGAATATTGGGCCTATGTTGTTTTGAGACGGGAGCCCTGGTGGCACAGTGGTTAAGTGCTCGGCTGCTAACCCACAGGTCGGCAGTTTGAACCCACCAGCTGCTCGGTGGGAGACAGATGTGGCAGTCTGCTTCCGTAAAGATTTACAGCCTTGGAAACCCTATGGGACAGTTCTACTCTGTCCTAGAGGGTCGCTATGAGTCAGAATCGACTCGACGGCAGTGGGTTTTGGTTTGGGTGTCTTCATGTATGCATTTCATCTATAGGCTTCTGTGGTTTGGAGGAGATGCTTCTGCTCTCCAAGATTCTGTGTCTTCCCTAGGCCTCAGTGTAATGTTTCTCTGTGGAGGTTTGGGTGGATAATAAAAACTGAATGGCCACGTCATTCCTTTTGTGAGCTAATGCCACCTTCAATTAAGTGGCCCACGCAGGGCCAGGGTGGTAGTACACAATCAAATTCTCCAAGTTAGCTGGTTATAAGAGGTACAGAGATAGCATTGTGGTAGTATCAGTTGTATACAGGGCAAGGCCAAGACACATGCAATTCTTCATTTGCAGATATAGGTGAGGCCTGATGCAGCTTCAAGGAAAACCGTGAAATGTGCCTGTGTGGGCTTTAAAAGGCAAAACACTCAGCTGTCATTTTGAACCATCAGTGATGGCTCTTTTTCTTCTCAGGTGGCCTAAGACCCTTCCCAGGTGAGTGTTTATGCTTAGAAGCTCTGACCGTGGTCTCAAAGGACATAGAAAATGTGCTCATGGAGAAACTGATAAGATTATGGTGGCTATGTAGGTCTCTAAAGCAAACTTTCTGGGTTGCTCAATCCTTGTGCACATGAAGAGGATGTTTCTGAGCTGGATTCTGAACCCGGAGGATAGAGGACCAGACAAGCAATTCATTTCACCACTAGCTCTCTCCAATAGGGGTAGGAGTATTTCTTGACACAAGGCATGCCTTGTAGCACACAGTCTGTAACAATACCTGAAAGAAAACTGCAGCTGGAGTCTTAATTAAAACTAGTCACTAGCTGGGGCAGCTGAAGTTGCCTTTATATCAAAGTAATTTGGGGGAAAGGAGCCCTGGCGATCCAGTGGTTAACAGCTCGGCTGCTAACCCGAAAAGTCCAAGGTTCGAACTCCCCAGCTGCTCCGTAGGAGAAAGATGTAGCAGTCTGCTTCTGTAAAGATAACAGCCTTGGAAACCCTATGGGTCAGTTCTCCTCTGTCCTGTAGGGTCACTGTGAGTTGGAATTGACTTGATGGCAATGAGTTTTACAAGAATTTGGGGGAAAGAGAGCAGAAGAGCAAATGAGACTAAATGGGGGGCCAGGGATGAAGTTGTTGGGATGGGAACAAAACCCTAAGCAATGTCCCCATCAGAGGGAAGGGGCTAGCCTCAGGTTTGGGCCATGGAGTCAATATGGGACTTCTTTTGAAATATGGTCCCCATTAGGTGTCAAACCCCCTACCCTAAGCCTAAGTTTGATATGAGAAGCAGTGAGGGGTATGAATTGTCAGACAACTTTCAGAGACATTTATGATTGTAATTCTGCTTCTTCCTAAGCCAGCATTACACTCAAAGTGTGTTTAGGGAACTACCTACAACAAAATCACCTGGACTGCTTGTTACAATGCAGATTCCTGGGCTCCAGCCCTACTGAATCAGACTCTCTGAGGGTGCGGCCAGGAATGTATATCTTCAACATGAGGCCCAGGAGAATCTGGGGTGCACTGATGTATAAGAACTCCTATTCCTAAGGTGGAGTCCCTGAGTGATGCAAACGGTTAACATGCTTGCCTGCTAACCAAAAGGTTGGAGGTTCAAGTCCACCTAGAGTTGCCTCAGAAGAAAGGCCTGGAGATCTACTTGTGAAAAATCAACCACTGAAAATCCTATGGAGGACAGTTGCACTCTGAAGCACATGGGGTTGCCATGAGTTGGAATCAACTTATGATAACTGTTTGTTTGTTTTTTAATACCTAAGTTATGGATAAGAGCTTCAGAAGTGTTTGACACTGAGTACCCTTGAAAGTTAGGTGCCCTACTGGAAAGCAAACAACCTCTCATTTTGTTAAAGACCCAACAAACTTTCCCAACTCCCAGGGGCAACTGTGAAAACGCTGGAAGCTGCTTCACAAGCACAAATGGGGCTGCCAATGTACCACCCACAGTAGACATTAGGTTAGCTGCTTTCTTGCCTTTTGTCCTAAATACTAGCTATCCCTGATATATGAAGTATGCTGTATTAGGGAGAGCCTTAAGAGTTGCTGTGAGTCTAAAATCAACTCAACGGCAACAGGTTTGGTTTTGGTTTAAGAGTCCACTGGAGTCACTTGTGGACTTGAATGGTGAGTGATCAACATGCAAATGTGTGATATGTGTGGGAGAAAAGGTACTTTCCCAGCTCCAGCCCTCTGAAGACACAGGCTGCTGAAGCCCTCGTGTGGGTGCCTCTTACCTTGTCCATGCTTGTGTTTGCTATTGATGACAATTTGCACGATGGTCCCTGATGCTTGCTGGGAATCCATAAGAGCTCCCCTGTGACTTCTGGCCCCAGGAAAGCGGGGAAGACTTCCTGCCTGTCTGCTTGGTGGAGGATCATAGTGAGAGCGGTGGTAAGAGTGTCTCTGTAAAATGACAACGACAAATTCACTATAAAAAAAAGCCACCAATGAGAAGGCAGAGATGGAGTTACATACATTAGAAGCCATTCAATGGTTTTTATTATTTTTTAGGGTTGAGTTCTGATCATAACTGCCCGTTCACCAACTCCAATAGAAACAGGAATGTGATAATGTTGAAAGGAGCACTAGCCACATGCTGAGACTGTTCTCTCTTGTAGAAGATTGGACAAGGTTCACAGACAAATTCCTGAGGGGAAAAACAACCAAACAGGGTAAAGTGTCACTCCTACACCCAAGAATCTCACATTCGGATTTAGGAGTTAAGATAGTAGGCTGCAACACAAGACAATGTGACAGAGGCCACAGAAGCAGAAAGGGCTGTGCAAATTAAGAGGAGAAAAAGAGCTTATATTTAGGGAGGGTCTGTGACTTGGACCATGAAGGGTGGGTAGACTTTTTACAGGCAGAGTTGGTGGGGAATATTCCATGCAAACGTTTCCAAGTTGAGAAGGTGTAGCAGAGAACATAGAGTCCATAAAAGGGAACAGTTGAACGATAACATTCCAAAAGTAGGTTGCAACCAGATCATGGAGGACTCTAAATGACATGCTAAGGGGTGAGAACTTTATCTGGTAGGCAGTAGAGGTGGGGGTGTGGAAGCCTTTTAGGGATTTTTTTTTTTAAGTAGGGATATAACTTAATCAGAACTGTGTTTCAAAGCACTGAATCCTGATGATGTGTAGGGTGAACTGGATGGAGGAAGAGAGAGCAGTCAAGTAAGTTAAGATGTACTGAGACTCTAAATGCAGGCAATGGTATGCGATCATACAGCAGGGCACAGATACCCTAGACATTTTAAAGAGAGAAGAATTGAAAGTACATGACAGTACTAGAATGTGAGCACCACGGAGTCAAGCACTTTGTTTTGTTCAGTGCTAACCCCCAGTAATTAGAACAGTGTCTAGTGTATAGAAGGTGCTCATTAAATATTTGTTGAATAAATGAATGAATGAAAGCTGTGGTCCCTAACAAAAGCGTAGAACCATGTAGTACACATAATCATTGCTCTTTCAGCAAGGATTCAAGACACCTGATGAGTCCACTATTCTGCTACCTACCCCTCTCCCAGGAGCTGAGGTAGGAGTAGAGGAGGATGGAATGAATGAAGAATGAAACCTTAAGGCTTAAAGCCAAGTAACACCAATTGCGTTTTAGAGGCAATTGTTAGGAGTGAAGGAGGAGGAGCTCATTAAAAAATCCTTTCCCAGACAATTAAAAAGTAAAACCCTTATATTCTGTGATAGAAATAGCAGGTAACCTTGGGATGGTGGTTATGGGGTCAACTGACCCCGCCATCCCATAAAACATTAAAGTTATTTGCCATAGACACATATGTTGCAAATTTAGCTTTGGGAGCTATTATTGCCCTCTTGGGGCATGGGCATTGGTGGGAGAAGGGGAGAGAGAACAGGAACTGGGGTAAGAGGACCTTCTTTAGCCTTTTGAAAAAGAACATTATTCCCTATATCTAAGAAGAATCTAGCTACAACAATTCACACAAATAAGAATTTGTATCAATTTATTATGCACACAGACCAGTTTCTCAACACAAATCTTTTTCATTCCCACAATGGTTTATATGTCTTTTTCTGCCCTAATCACTCACATTCCACAAAGGCCATTACAGATTGTCCTGTCCTTTCAGGAGTTTGGCAGAGTTTTGCTAAAGGAACACTGGAACACAGGACAGTTTGGCTGGTGGGTGTCCTACTGATGCTAAAAGGAAGGAGTTCTACAGGGATAAAATTTAAGAGGAAATGCTGACCCAGGATAAGCTGCAAGTACAAGAAGTTCTCTGGTTCATGATGGTGAGCACAAAATAAAAAAAAAACAAACAACTATCCTTTGGTACCAGGGACTCAGATCCTGGACATATGATAAAACAAAAAACCAAACCCATTGCTGTTGAGTTGCTTCTAACTCATAAGAACCGTACAGGACAGAGTAGAAGTGCCCCATAGGGTTTCCAAGGCCATAAAGTTTTTATGGAAGCAGATGGCCACATTTTTCTCCCACAGAGCAGCTGGCAGGTTTGAACCACTGACCTTTCAGTGAGCAGCCGAATGCTTTAACCAGTGCACCACCAGAGCTCCTTGGACATATGACACGGATAGCAAAATGATTCACAAAAAAAAAAATTCTTGGGGATTTTAATCAGAGGCCCTCTAATGAGCCAGTCACCCCCCAGAACTTTATCTTGTTTAAGTTTTTGTTTTACAGAGAAACTGAAGCCAGGGACGAGAAGGGATTTATTCAGGGTCACAAAGAAGGTTGGGTTTTAGAGATGGTGGGAGAGTGGGATTGGGGGGAAGGGGAGAAGAGGAGGTTTTGGAGGGGAGAAGGAGAAAATGGGAGCGTTAATGTCTGGTCAAATTCAGTGTTCCACAAACATTTGGCTAAAGACTCATCAAAGAGAAGTACTTTCAGATATAGAAGTTAGCTACAGTGTTCACAGCCCTTACACCACTGGTTTTCAACCTCAACTGCACACTGGAATCACCTGGGGAGAGTTACTGATGCTTGGGTTCCACCTCCAGGGATTCTGATGTAATTGGTCTGGAGTGGGGCCTGGGCATCAGGGTTTTTATATACTCCCCAACCAAAACACCCATGGCCATCCAGTCAATTCCGACTCATAGCAGCCCCATAGAGTTTCTGAGTCTATAAATCTCTCCGGAAGCAGACTGCCACATCTTTCTCCTGTGAAGCTGCTGGTGATTTCAAACTGCCAACCTTTTGGTTAGCAATCACTTTAACCATTGTGCCACCAGGGCTCCCTATATACTCCCCAGACGACTCTAATTTTGCAGCCAAAGTTTAGAATCACTGACACAAAGGATCCTCTGTTGCAGGGGGCCGGGGCTGTGGTGGTGTGCTATTTTTCTTTAAGAGGAATGGCTCTTTTAGACTGACACTTCTAAACACCTGAAAGAGGCTGACCAGAGGCCATTTTGACTTTGTAACTTACAGCAAAGGAGAAAAAGGCCTTAAGGCCTTGAATTGTAAGCAGAATTAGAGCTTCTTTTAAAATCCAGCTGTCAATAGGCTGCTTGAGAGAGCAGGTCAAAACTAGTTAGGTACAAATGACCATATACCTGTGCTTTATTTTGCTTAATGTTTTAGTATTATTTGATTTATTTACTTGAAGGACTGAAAAATATTTCAAGCTTTTGAGATGGCTCTTAAATAGTTCTTTTCTGGTGTTGAAAAATCCTCATATTGTAGAGATTTCCCAGGAACTTCTACCTTACTTGTTCTAAGATATAATGGTTTTACTGGTGGAGACAGGAGAATATCAAAGTCCAGAAAGGACCTTAAAAGGGCCTTCATGTCAATATCCTGGTGGTGATATTGTACTATAGTTCTGCAAGATGTTACCATTGAAGGAAACTGGGTGAAGGGCACGTGGGATTGCTCTGTATTATTTCTTACAAATGCAAGTGAATCTACAATTTTCTCAATTAACTAAAAATATCATTTACAAAAGTACCTTCAGAATGTGTTCTGATCCACATAGCCACCAAAACATTCTATCTAAGTAACTACTAACCTAGAACTAATCCCTGTCTGAAGACATTAGGCCAGTTTCCTTCCCGAACCATTGTTCTGACAATGTGAAGGAGACATGGATTTTTATCTGTTTCACATTGTTTCTCTCAAACTCTTTCACTTTTCTAATGGCAAACCTCTGTGTAATCTATTGGGGGACAAAATCAGAGTTTGGCTGTTGTCCAAAACAAAATTATGCTTGCTTTCATGTTTTGGCTTTCTACCCTGCGCCTATTCTCCCTCCCTCCCTCCCTCCCCACATACCACCCATCCACTCCCCCCCACACACACACTCTCACACACACACACTCACACACACACTCACACTCCAATGGCAGTAGGAGCAGATCATGGGAAATTAAGATCTGGAAATCAAACAAAAACTGTTTTGGATTTTTACAAAGCAGTCATACTGGTTCGCCTTCCTATGCAGTTCGTAAAACTTGGTAAGCTGATGGTTTTCAGCCCACTTGGCAAAATAAACCAATCAGCTGTGTTTCTGTTGAACTGAGGTGTTTTTGTTTGGTTGGTTTTTTTTTGATAATTCAAGGTAAATGCAAACAGTCTACTGAAGCACCATAGGAAATATGATGTTAGTAATGGCTTTTTTTCCTCCCATGCAGGAAGTTGGGTCTGCAAAGGATATTCAAAAGGGATTCCCCTACCTTCCAGTTTCAGGCTGGTCAAGAGCAAACACCATGTCCAAAGAATTTTCTCTGATTTGGGACAGATTAATGGAATCCCCCCCCCACCCCGCATCGCATTTCAGTCAACCTTCCACACCCATCCATTCAACACAAATTTATTGGGTGCCTACTATGTGCTAGGTACATGCTTTTCCATACTACAGATGCTGTTTATTATTCAAATAATATCCCACAATATCTACCCCTTTTAGAACAAAGGAAAATATTTATTTATAATAAAGTGAAACCATCTGGCCATTTTGGTCTACCAGGCCTAAACGTTTGTTTCTAAAGATAGGTCTTGAACGCCTTTGAAAATCAATAACTATTTCAAGGCCCTAGATTCTCTTCCTGACCTTTTTTGCTAAGGAAAATACCAGATTAACTCCAGCCCTATCACAAGCAGTTTAAGAAGAACAATGAGGCTGACAGACAAGGGGTGGAGTTGGGGGCAGTGTAACACAAAGTCAAGGAGAAAGGCTAATTAATGACATTGCCAGCAAGACCTCTGAGATGGCCACAAGTGCTCAGTGTTGGGGGCCTGTTTGTTAGTGAGCAAGGCACACAGCTTAAAGTGACTGAGCCCTAAATTTGGTTCAGAATGGTATCTGGTTGACGGCTACTTATTTAAACACTCTCAACTTTTACCACAATAAAAGGGCTGAGAAAAAGAGGAAACTCACAACATAGAAAATTCAGACTGACATC